TGAGTACGAGTAATGCTCCGATGCCTAACCCGATACCCAAACTTCTGGTTTTAGGAAGGCGGGCAACGAGTCATTAAATGCTGCCCGGCTTCCTGACTGGCTGGCAAGCCGGCCAATTAGGAAGCCGGAAGGCAAGTCATTACCCACCCCCCTCTGCTTCCTGAATGGCCAGAAAGACGGGAAGGAAGCTGGACGCCGTGTAATGATTCACTGTTTAGCTTCCTGATTGGTCGAGATGCTGGCCAATCAGGAAGCCAGGCAGTGAGTCATTACCCACCCACCTGATTGGCCGGAAAACCGGCTTCATGCTTCCTCGTCACTAGGTGATGTGGAGACGGTTTCAGTGCTAATCTGGAAGCTGGGTGGCGTGTCCTTACTGGCTACCTGGCTTCCTTTCACGCCAGTCATTACAGGCCACCTGGCTTCCTTAATGGGACTTCCGCTATCAGTATTCGGTATCGGTGAGTACTGGAAAAAAAAGACTTTTGTCTTGCGATGGTTGTAAGGTAATTAAAAAAACGTACGATCTGCCCATCTTGGACAGGCAAATCGTACTTGCGATGATCGCAAGGCCCGCCCCTCAGAGGGGCGGGCTTCCGATGACCGCAATGCCAAAACGGGCAGTGTGGGCTTGTGCACACCGGCCCGTCCGGCTTTTATCTTACGAACATGCTACACCCCCCGCCGAAAATCGTACGATTCTCGGCGGGTTTTCGAACATGTTCGTAAGATAAAAGTCGTGCGACCTTACAGTAGTAGAGGTCGCACGGCTTCCACACACCTTACGATAATCATACGATTGCGGGATTTCCCGTGATTATCGTACGATTATCGCAAGGTGTGTGGGCACCTTAACATTCTCATTGCTTGCTGGAGGCAATCCATGATGAGATAGTGTTGTGTCGAGGAATCGAGATTGCATCACATCAAGATCAGGGAAATAGATGCAAAGCACACTGGGAACCCAAGAAGTTGATGAAAGTGATGGGCAGTCGGAAGGCAGCACTCACTACATAAAAGGGACTTTTTCATGTAAGCTTTTATTGTATTATCAGAAACAACTCTAATATGTATTCCTATTACAATGCTGATGTTATAACAGGAGAGGACATGCTGGGACTTTACAACTCCTTTAAGGAGACGTGTTCCGTGAACGCAGAGAACCGTGGGTGGCTTCTGGTATTTTTCAGGGAATTTGAGCACAAAAACCTAATTTAATATCTCATTACAGAAGTGTGGTCATCATTTATACATTAGGAGTTTAGAATGTACTTCCGGTACACTGTATTAGTTTATCAGAGTATGGCTTTTTTTCCTGGCCATTGATACAAAGTTCGCCTATGTGTGTGTCTGTTTTATAGGGTTTTTAAATCAGACCTGCCAGTAACTTTACTAGTCTGCATGGATAAATTCCTGACATGTCGCAATATACAGCAACAGTATCACTGTTCAGAAAAGCTTCACCTTTTATCATTAATAAGCTGTCTTTGAGCTCCAGTCAGTGACTTTGCCTAGGTTGAGATGATGTCATCAGTCAGCTGCAAGCAGGAGGAAGCATTTCCTCAGTCTGCAGCAAGGTGAGCAGCTGCAGCAGGGACTGATCAGTGTCAGATATTTACAAACACAGCCAAGAACTGCACTGGCAGCAGGATTGACATCACTAAGCTGACATTTTAGTCCAGGATGTAAATGGTGAACCTGGATGATGTCTGATGAAAGATGGTGCTATCCTTCTGGAGAGAAAAGGAGTGGAAGGCATTGTCATGGGGGAGTACTATGATCTCTGGGAGAGGTGATACATATCTGGACGTGTTACACTGATACACTACTTAGCATGCTTGGTCCACTTTAAAGCCCAAATCTGCCTTTCTATCTGGTGTGAGATAATCAGTCTGGGCTGTAAAATCAAATCTGTATATTGTAGCAGTGATTTGCCTTGTTCCTGGGAACTGTACTGGCTTCTCAAGTATCCCGCTTGTACCCGGCTGGGGAAATGTTTAAAGCAGAACTCCGGGCAGAATTTCTTATTAACCCCTGCAGTGGGGCTACCTCTGCACTGCAAGTGTTAACTGCTCGTTTTTTTTGTCTAGGTTAAAAAAAAAAGTTATACTCACCGATCCAGGGACCAGCCCCTGGAGCCTCTTCTCCCCTCCGCTGCAGCCGGTCTAAGGTCCATTTTTGTATTTTAGTCCCTTGACGAAAACAAGCTCTTAACGCTTGCAGCCTGTAGGTAGGCCCACTGCAAGGGTTAAGAACACTTTTGCCTGGAGTTCTTCATTAAAAGAAAACTGTACTCAGAGGACTATGGAGACTGCTGTCACTGGTTTCTCATTGTGGAAATACTGCTTGCTTGGCTGTTATGTTGTACCTTTAGCTCAGTGGCGTGACAATCGCCATAGCGACCCAGGCGGCTGCTATGGGGCCCGTGGCAAAGGGGGGCCTGGCCAGGACATCCCCCTGATGCCATGCGGGCCGCCTGGGTCACTATGGCATCTCAGGCTGCTGGCTGTCACTGGCTGGTGTGAGGAGGAACCTGTCGCTGTTAGATCACCGACAACCTGTCAGTGATGTGTGCAACGGCACGTTCCTCCTCACGGCCGCTGCTGAGTCAGTGACAGCCAGCAGCTGTGGAGGAGGAAGGCTGGGCCCGGCGTCGGAAGCGGAGGAGGAGGCGGTGCCGACAACGGAAGAAGGGGCGTGGCCCAGTGATGGAGAAGGAGGTGGGGCCCGGCGATAAAAGAGAAGGTGGGGCCCGGCGATGGATGAGGCGGGGCCTGCCAGCGACCATGGAGGTGAACAGCGGATCGAGGCTGACAGGTAAGAGGTGTGCAACCCACCTGAGACCCTGCAGAGCCCACCATAGAGAGTCTATAGCGGGCTCTGCAGGGTCACTCTCAGGTGAGCTGTTTGAAATATCAGGTGGGCTCTGCAGGGGCATAACTAGAAATCACAGGGCCAAATACAAAATATTGCTATGGGGCTCTGTGATTTCTAGTTACGCCCCTGCTTTATCTCTAGTAGTTTCTGACGTACTGGCCCAGAAAAAGTTATACAGATTTTTTATTTGGTTCTGACTCACTTTGTTGCATGCTTGTTCTGTGTCCATACTGAAGCCAGTAAGCCAAGTTCAATACTGGCTGGTGGCTGCATTAGTTCTCATTTTTCATGCTTTTTTACCTGGTGATGATCCTGCCAGTAGTACACTTCCCCATCCTTGGGTGACAACGCTCACTCACTGTATTGTATCTATGGAGGAGCAGCATTGATATCCTAAGGCAGGACTACAGATCCCCTTCTCTCTTCATAACATAAGCGGGAGATGTTCTGTAGTCCACATAGGAGAAATGGGAAAGCTGACCCCAGGAACACTCAGTTAGAGGGGCTAAGATGTTCCACAATGTGAATACCTTTGCAGAGGAGGAACTGGCTGTTTGGTTCCTTCAGGGCTGTAACTACCATGGGGCAAGTGAGGCACTCGCCTCAGGCGCAGCTGAGTGGGGGCGTGGCCAGGGCCGGCCTGACTGCGCCACCTCGCCCCGGTGGCCATGGCGAGCACAGGGCTCCATTGGCAACAGGGGTGCCAGGTGGCCAACACAGCAGCGAATCGGCAGGGAGAAGAGGAGCGGCACAGGCTCCAGCTTCTCCTCGGATCCCCGCTGCTGTCCCCCACCTGTATGGACACAGGACTCTGGGTCCTCAATCTCTTTTTCTATTTCAAAAGGGAAATGTCAGGGGTCTGTTTAGACCCCTAATATTTCCTGAAGCCCCCCAAAAAGTAAAAAACAAAAAAATCCACACACTCATGCACACATATTATTAGACATTTGCAAAGACTAAAAATTTGCTTTGGACGAAAGGAACGGAAACTCAAAATGTTTTCATTAGTTTTGTCAAACGAAACAAATTTTTATGCTATTTTGGATTTGGCCACCAGCGCATTCTGCACATGCGTGCCGCCATCCTGGAGGCGGGGCGCATGACGTCACATAACGTGCGTGAGCACAAGGGACACAACCAGGAAGGCTGGGGAGGTCCAGAGAGTTGGTGACCCTGAGATACCTGTCGGGGAGACAGAGAGAGAAAGTGACCCACGAGGGGTGAATACTAACAGGCCTTGAGCTGAGGAAAGCTGCTGAGGACTGTATTTCCAGGGAAAATCCTGGGACTATCACACTGGGAATGTGTGGGACAGCCAGATGTCAGTGAGACCCAAACCATATTGTTGTGATGTAAGTCCAATTAACTGTTCTTTTTCGTTTATAATGGACTGTTGACCTTTTTGATGAATAAAGACTGTCCTTTTATGTTAAAGTCGGCTTCAGGAGTGGTCACTTAGCGCTTACCATTGTGCTATATTCCCCAAACTATCACAATACACTTTAGGTGGGATCGCTTGAGGTTCTGTTTTAAAGTAGCATTGTACAGAAGGATTCTTTTGTATCTATGTATGTTGACAGTCATGGCGGAGCTTCTGGGTTCCTTTCTATCGACAGGCTCGGCCTGTGGCAAACAACACAATCTGAGTATTTTTCACTGGGTACATTAGCGTGGGTGTTGATGGCCTTTAGTTTGCTTCAATGGGGGGTTGGCATCCCCATATAGGTCTATGGCAAGGGTAGCCAAACCTTGACTCTCCAGCTTTTGTGGAACTGCAATTCCCATAAGGCATTGGAAGACTGACAGCCGCAGGCATGATTTCCAAAAGGCAGGTGCATGATGGGAGTTGTAGTTTCAACACAGCTGTAGGGCTGAAGTTTGCCTACCTCTGGTCTATGGGAATGCAAAACCTGCTTGAAGCAGGTCAACTGTAGGTCAGAAGCAGATCAACTGCTGCACCTGTCAATTAATTCTGAATGATCTCAGAAGGGTCTCGATCTGGTCTCACAAGGTAGGAAGTAAGGAAGTAGATCTACCTCAAAAAAAAGAAAAGCTAAACAAATCCTCAATTTTACCATCAAATTGTACCCTGCCCACCCATGTGAAAGAATCCGCTGACTTACTGCGATTGGCCGGGTTCCCATCCGGGTAGTTCGCCAGCTGCAGGTAAACCGTCCACAGTCCCAGAAGGAGGATGGAGAAGAGCAGCAGCAGCCAGAAATACTTCTGCAGCATCCGTACCGGGAACGGGCGAGCCCACACTTTGGCCATCCGCTTCCCCTGCACCCGCCTGTGCAACATGGCTTCCAGAGCTCCCTTCTCTGCCGGTCCACCGCCGCCGTTTCATCGCCCTCATCCTGCCATGGCCAGCGCGGATTTCAAAGCGACCTCCCTGCTACAGGTGCTGCTGCGGGGAAAGTGGCCCAAGTCGTGTCGTGTTACCTTATGGGAGCTCTGTGAAGCTCGGAGTGTCAGCTTTCAGGTCACGTCGCTAGGAGGTCATGAAATGCTGGTTGATTGTGAGAATTTGTGCTGAATGGCGAAGGGGACGGACAACTTTGTGCTCTGCTTCTTCCTGGTGTCACCTGTACGCCCCTACCTGTGTGACTCAGCCCTCATTTACAGCGTCAGTCCACCTTGTCACTCTCATCTTGCTGCCGCTTGCCTGTCCTTCCCCTATCGTCTTCTCGCCTCTTCTGCCACCTGGGGCTCAGGCACCAGGGAGGGGTGACTTTCCCACAATGGTGGCCCCTCCCTGATTCCCTCCGTCAACCTCCTCGTAACAACACTGGCATAACTGGCTCTGTAAGTCATTCGTACCTGACGGCTAAGATACCGACTGAGAGATTGAATACAAGGCCAGCTGAGAGCACAAAAGCTCACCTGCGTCCCGCTACCAGCCATTCCGGTCTGTCTGTAACTTCAGGCTGGGCTTTCACCTTTCCATGCCCATTTCTATGCTTCATTGACAATTAGACTGGCCACACATGTGGCAATTTTCATTCATTTACAACCACTAAGAAATAAAATACGTTCAAAATCAATTGGCGCTCCCTCCAGCCTATCTCCTACTCCACTGCAGCAATGTTAGTTCCCTCTGCATCCTCACGTCCTATACACTGTCTATAGCAGCGATGGCGAACCCGACTGCCCAAACTGCAATGCAAAATCAATGTATTTATCTCAAAGTGCCAACACCGATAAGTTTCATATCACACACACTCATATTAAACACACACAGATATCACACACTCATAAAAACACACATGCAGTGAAACACACACATATCACACAAATAATTAAACACATGCACACTTATTAGAATGCACACACATATACCACACTCATTAAAAAAAACACACATATCTCACACTCATTTAAAATCACACACATCACACACTAATTCAAAACACACACACACATATCACACACTCATTAAAAAAAACACACATATCACACACCTATTAAAAGCACACATCTCACACTCATTAAAAATCACACACATCACACACTCATTCAAAACACACACTCACATATCACACACTCATTAAAAAAACACACATATCACACACCTATTAAAAACACACATCTCACACTCATTAAAAATCACACACATCACACACTCATTCAAAACACACACACACCACACACTCATTCAAAATACACACACATATCACATGCTCATTAAAAAACACACACATATCACACTCAATAAAACACACAAAAATATCACACACTCAATAAAACACACATACAATGAAACACACACATATCACACACTCAATAAAACACACAAAATATCACACACTCAATAAAACTCACATGCAATTAAACACACACATATCACACACTCAATGAAACACACACACATCACACACTCAATAAAACACACAAAAATATCACACACTCAATAAAACACACATCACACACGCAATGAAACACACTTATTAAAACACGCATATCACACACTCATGACAAAAACACACAGATCACACACTCATTAAAAAAACAACACACATATCACACAATCATTAAGGAAAAACAACACACATCACACAATAATTAAAAAACACACCTATCACACACTCAATAGAGACACACACATATGCAATGAAACACACACACACTCATTAAAAAAACACACACAGATATCACACACCTATTAAAAAAACACACATCTCAAACTCATTAAAACACACACACAACTACACATATCACACACTCTTTAAAAACACACACATATCACACAGTCATAAAGCACACAGTCAATAAAACACACACTCATTAAAAAACACATAATTAAAAGGTAATAATTAAAAACTTGCCCCTTCTCCTGCTTGCCTGTTTTGCAGGAAAGGGGGCTGCATCCATGGGGTCCAGTGGGGCACTCAGGGATTATCCTGGTGGTCCAGTGGAGAATCGGTGTGATCTGCATCTTTGGCTGATGCAGACCATACTAATCGCTCCTGCCTGTGAGTGGCAGCACCACGAGGGAGCGATTAGTATGATCTGCATCAGCAAGAGATGCAGATCATAATGATCCTCCAATGGACCACCAAGTGTTGATTTCCATTTAATATATTGCGGGTTTGGCGGCCATCTTTAAAGACATGAGGCGGAGACCAGTAGGACACCGGAGGCCCATACGGAGCACCCAGGGCGAGAACCTGTAGTGTGCGGGCCCCGGCAACCGGCACCTAGGCTTGCGTGCCACTAGGGGGACCTCTGCGTGCCCTCGGTTCTCTGGTCTATAGAATGTGATTACTCGCGGATCCTTACACCACTGCAGTAGTGAGGGGGAAAGAGACAGAAGGGACCGTTCTAGCAACAAGCCAGCTCGGAAGATCGCGTGAGTATAACATTTTTTTTTTAGTCCCTGGACGAAAACGAGCAGTTAACCCTTACAGTGCAGGGGTAGTCCCACTGCCAGGGGTATTTAAAATGTTTTCCCGGAGTTGTTCTTTATATTTACCAAATCTATGCAATATGAGGACCCAGGTAAAATATCCAATGAATCTGTATCCAATCAGGGTAGCCCTTGTACTACATAGTTGTTTGGTAGATCAAAAGCAAATTGTATAATCAGATTGTAATGCGTGTGGTCAGCATTGAGGTGATTGTACAGAGAATATACAATTAGATTGTACATCCAGCTTAAGGGTGACATGGAGCGCAAATAAAAATGGACAGAGGTTCTAAACCTTCTGGATAACCTTCTGAATATTTTTTTATAGGTGTCCTAGTGAAGAGCAGTTCCCAGGGATCCCCCTTTCCCTCCGCTGCATTTCCACTGCCGATTACTTTGCAATGTCAGCTATGTTTTAAGGACTCATTCTGCTCTTGCTTCATACAACAAAGCCAACCTGCTTCAGCCTCCCTTTGGTAAGATTTCATTGCCTAATAAAATAAGTGATGCTAGACATAAACAGCAGTTTCCCTTTTTGTGGCTCATTAGACTTTTGGAATCGGGACAGTCGGTTTTGTCTGTAGCATTCATAACCTATATTTCTCTATGTCAGGCAGAAAATTTAGTTGGGGGGAGGGGGGTTCTACTTTGGCCCTTCAGCTGTGCTTTAACTACAAATCCCAACACGTCTCTTCCTCTGGGAGTCATGCCTGTAACTGTCAGTTTTGCAATACCTTATGGGACTTGTAGTGCCACAACAGCTGGAGGGCTGGAGTTTCCCACCCCTGTTCTCTAAGGCCAGGTTGTCCTGGAGCCACTCCCCAACGTGAGACTGGACAATGAAAGGAGAAGCAGTACAGTGATGAGCTCATTTCCCTGTGACTCTGCTCTTTGTTCTTATCAGCATGCTTCTTGTCAGCTTCCTCTCACATTCCAGTCCTGATATCAGATTCAGTTCAGGTGCTTACACTGCTAGCTCTTAAAAAATACATTTCATAATGTATTCATGATTACAGAGCTGCATTATTTGTTTTTATGTCTTTTAGACCCGGTTCACACAGCGATTTGTCGCGCAATTTCAGCTCCAACATTTCTCAAATATCAGCTCAATGTCGCTCAATGTAGCTTGTCCAATGCATTTCAATGGAGCTCTTCACATCTCAATGTCGCCTGTAGCTCGTCGCTCAAGCTTGTAGCTCGAACATGACCTATTTTTCGGCGGATTTTGTGCGATTTGGCCCAAAAGACTTTAATGGTGTAGCTCAATGTCGCGCGACATTGTTGCATTACGTCGCGCTACAGAAGTGTCACTTTTGCACAGAAATATAAGAAGGAAGGAATGATGTCACATCAAGACCGCCTGTGATTGGTTACAGCCCAATGTAGCAGCCACAAAGTCCCTGCCAAAAGTCATGCTACGTATCGCGACAAAATGTGCACTGCAGCTCAATGTAGCTCAATGTCGCTCAGCTCAACATCGCTCTGAAAAATTTTTTTTTTGGATGTAGCTCAGTGTGAATGGGGTCTAATGGAGCCCCAGATACCAGTGAAACCTGGCAGAGTGTCTAACCTTTACCTATTGAATAATAAAAAAAAAGATTTGGGCATTGACACATAAAATAAACATATATACTGTTTTTTTCATCCTTTGTTACATCTCAGTGCTGCTGATCTCCTGCAGCCTCTTCCTGTCTACATGCACTCCAGCGATGGATGCATGTCATTTCTCAGGGTGGGTTTCTTGAAGGTGACAACATTTGACCATGCCTGTGCAATGTATGTAGAAACAGCCACTTGTAGTCTCTATCGCGAGCCTATGTGACAGGGTGACAACACAGGAGCACAATTTGGAGACAGTACAGAGCGTTGTAACCCTATAACAGGAAGTGTCTGAATAAGGACCTTTATGGCAGGATCACCAGACTTTATTTTAATGAAAGCTGCAGATTTACAAATATTGAAAATGGCAGTGACAAGCTAAAGCTAACATGAGGTTTTAGTGGTTAGGTCTATCTTTGTCAGGGAAATTTATATTATGTAGAGGTACAGATATCTGCTATCAGCATTACCCAGTGGGCTCAAATTATAAGGTAAAATACAATATTGCAATATTGGAGACTAACACACACACACACACACACAAAACAAAGCATGCTATATGCTAGTCTGATTTATTAAACAATTGCATCATCATTTATAGTAGGATGTATGTAATTGGTAGAAGCTTTGATCATTGGTCATATTCAAATGAGTTATGACTCCATAGAGACTTTCTGCTAACTTTGGTAGCTGTCAGATGTCCAAAGTTCTGGTATGGTGCCTTGGTCATAGGATTGGTTGTCTTTGTCTGGAAAAACCACGAGTTTCAACATAATCATGTTTCAAATCCAAATGACAGAATTATCACATGA